CCCTCTCCTTTGTTTTTTCCTTCTTTTTTCATGTATGTAAAGTTAGCCTTGATTTTTAAGGATTTCTCTTTTCTGTAGGGCCAAGAAGATTTCTGTTTCGTCATACGTTGGGTCGATTCCAAACTGAGGAGGTTCTTGCCTTATTTATTTTCTTAACTATTCCATCTTGGTTTATGATTGAATTGTTGATGAATCCATTCTCATTGTATGTATTCTAATTGGAATTTGGAACAACCTGAGTTTTGACATTACTCTGGATTAGTTCATTATTTCCCTTCGTTGATTATTGCTGATTGTTTTATTATTTTTTCCCCCTTCGAGCAGGCAATTTTTTCGAAGGCTGAGAAGCACGTGAAGGAGTTGAACCTTTCAGTGGACTTGATGAAGAAGGAGAGCAAAAAACTACTTGAGAGGGCTGCTCTAGCTGAAAAGGATATGAAATACGGCTACAACGAGCTGATGTATAAGCATTGTAGTTGTCAAAACATAGAAAAGTTTAGAACTACTAGATTCTCTCCACCTGACTATTTTAATATACAGGAATGCTGGAAGTCAAATTCAACATCTTTCAAGGTCAATTTACAAGGCTGAAGCCCAAGCTGCAGGTATGTTTGTTGATGTATGGAACTCTATAGTTGTCTTGGTTTCTACGTTATAGTGATGCTTAAGAGACTTTATTTGGTTATGAACATTTTCTTTCTTATTACGTTCTTGTTAATTTGATAGTCTGACCATCTTAGATTGTAGACATAAGTCACATAACATTGAATTAGATATTGAGATACTTCCCTATCGCTATAAATATCTTGACGGATTTGAGCAGAGGGGGCAATGGAAGTATAGTTCTTCTGAGATAATATTCTAGATCTCACGATGCTGCAGCTTATTGATATATCATTGGTATTGATTTTAGGAACTAAATACCATCTTTCTTATATCTTCATCTTTAGTACGAAAAGTTGTGGCTCTTTTGCAGTAGTTGTACTGTTCATGGGGTGGACAGCCACCGCATCATTCACTACTTTATCACTAGGCTTTGGAATGTGAAAGTTCTGGAGAATGGGAGGTTTGTTGGCTTGTTGCCTTTGGAGGTTCATTGGCTTGTCTTTAGGAGAACAAGTAGGCATTGATTTCAGCCAAAGGTCCTATATTCTCGTGCATGACCTTCAAAGGTGTTTCCCTTGGGGAGGAACACATATTTCGATTTCCATTTCCGGAGTGTGTTTGTAATGCGCTCAATAATAGGTGCCAACAAAGGAAGCCTTCTTGGCTTGCCATCAAGAGGTAGCCCAAGGCAAGAGCTTGGCCAAGTACCTTTGTGACACTCAAGATCTGGCAGTACTGCAAGGAACTTCCTTTTCCCTATCTGAGCTTTGTCTCCAGTTATCCAAAATTAGGAGAAGCCTATGCCTCTCTGAGGTTTCCAAATCCCTCACCAGTAAGATCTCAGAAATCAATTTTATCCATATGTGAGCTTGGCCATTAAACACAAAGTCACAACAACAAAGAATACGATCTAGATCTTTAGTCACACTCACAAAGAATGCAAAAATGTGGCCTGACCACAAAGGTTGAAACCCTCAAGATGTGATCTAGAGTTCCAAGTAGAAACTGTCAAACAAAGATCTCAATCTTCTTTAAAATTTTAACCTTCTACGACAAGGAGAAAGAAGATATCAACTGCATATCCATGAGAGATATTCCCTAAACTATGAGAAAGGCCAGCCCTACATCAGATTAATATCCCATTTTGCTTTCAATTGTTTATCCTTCTTGAGAACAATGACTTAAATTTCAAAACATTTGGTTGCAGCACCCTTTCATTATACTTGATTCTAAAGCTTGGTGGAATAAGTTTTTGGGCTCTTAACTTCTTTTAAAGAAGATTCTAATGGAAGACTTGTAGATCCTTGTGATAAATAAGTGTGTTTAGGGTGTTTTCTCAAGAAAAAGATTGAAGGAAACCTTAGAAATTCAAGCTTGCAAACTACGAAGAAGAGTTATTCAAGCTTGTGTTGTTATTTGGAGAGCTTCATACTGATCAACATATTTTCTTCTTTCACTTTTTGACCACCTTAAATTGATCTTCAATTCAAAAGAAGGGTTCTTATAACCTGGTTACAAGGTTTTGGTTTTATCAAAGGGACTGAGAGCAATGAACTACTGTTGTATGATACCAAAAGCTGTACTCTACTTAATTCTTCAATCTTCAACAGCAATATTTTGTTCTTAATACTATAACTTGTACTGTTGGCATCTGCTTGGTAGCTGCATGACTAGTTCCAGTTATTTTGTTCTTGATTACTCTGTTTAGTTAGTTCTGAAAAGAATAATATAAATATTATCAATTAGTATTTAAATTGTAAATTATTTTTAACATTGTATGATTTACATTCACAACTGATAGTATCATGTGAACTAAAATAAATATTTATATTTCCATTCTGTTTCCCTATGGCATCTGTAATGGTTGAGACTTGAGAGAAGAGTACACGTTAAACATCATGATTGCATATAATTTCTGAAGTCTTTATATTTTTTCGATTTCTGCAGATTTGATGGATGGGCTGCGGGAAATTTCTGGCAGGGACGCATTAAAACTTCGAGCAGAGGTCAGCCTGCTATACTTATCATTCCCCCCTCAATTGAGAGCTGAATTTTATACTGCACAATTTATAATTGAATTTGATGTTCGGTTTAAGTTAAATTACAAATTTAGTTGGGACGTGCCATTAGGTTGCTAACCAATTGAACATTATCTGATTAGTACTATAGATTTGAATTTTTTGAACTTGTCTAAATTTTGTAAATTTGATTACTTATACGTTCCTTTAATGATCACAAATAAGTAAAGAACTTATTTGACACAAAATAAGGATGTAGGAACATATTTGACACAAGCTTAGGTAATATGCACAATCACGAAATTTTGGAGTCTAAATGTACTTGTAGGTGGCTTCGATGGCAACGTTTTTGAAGCGCCATAGGAGTTCGCTCGAAAACAGGGCGATGAAGGTCTCTGAATTGGGGATTCCTCTGTGATTGACTGGAGATTGAGGTATGAATTATGTTTAGTTGTCTAATGTCTACGACAATTTTGATATTGAATAATTTCCAAAATTGGGGGCGTTACTTCCATCTGGACTGACTAAGTTTATTAGTGAAAATAGAGTGATGAAATCTTGTTGGAATTTTTCACTCGGAAAAATTTAACATTGGCATTTTTCATTTTATCTGAGTATGAAATTGTACTGAACATGATTTGGTAATGTAACCAAAGACACCCTTTGCTACGGTTAATCATTCATTTTTATCTATTTGTAGCTTTTCTTAAATCCCATTCTTTTGTTTGTTGTTGATGAGGCAACACCCGGATTTGAACTCGGGAAAAAGGGATTTGCTGCAGTCCCCCGTCTTACGACGATATAAAATATTGGAGATACAAAATATTGGATTGGCTCTATCTCTTCGTTTGATAGTATCTTACAACACACAATATCTAAAACAACCGAAAAATTTTACTTTCTTTTTCTATTGGAAAAAAAATAGTCAAAGCAAAAATTAATAAGACAAATAGGAATCGTAACTTGACTTTGAATTCAAAAATGATTATTGGATTAAAATTTCTAGAAAATTTTGACCAAAATGTTACTACTACCTACGTTTGTTTTTTTAGTAACAAACTATAGTTAATTCACATGTAATTCAAAAGGCATTTTTCTTTCTTTCATTTAAAAATTTTCTAAACCTTTAATTTTGTATTTAATAGATTCTCAAATCTTCTACTAGTGGATTTGTTTGTCTTCTGTTAAATTTTTTTCATTTGTCTTCTGTTAAATTTTTTTCATGGCTGACACATAATTTGATAAGTCAATGATTTTTTTTTTTGTGTTTCAAAATACAGTTAACCACATATTAACGAATCAATCAAATTTTACTGTTTACTTTTTTTCGTGTTTCAAAATACAGTTAACCACATGTTAACTAATTGATCGGATTTTGCAATTTTTTCGCAACTTTTTCTTCTGCAGTATCTTGCGTGACATGAGCATGAAAAGGGTTCAAGAATCAGTTTTCTTTTTATAAGGGCTTATTTTGGTTTTTGACCCCATATTGTAATGGAATAGAGCTTTCCACAAAATTCTATATAGTCCAAAACCAATTCTAAAAATCAAAAAATTGAAAAGTTTGGATATGAGAAATGAAAAACTAAATTTTTAATGATATCAAAATAGATTCACAAAAAAAATATCGTTTCAAACATAATACAAAAGAAGTTATAAATTTTAAAAAATAGACGAATATCCATGATCAAATCCATGGCCCTGGTAAATTTAGTTTATGGTATGAGCTAAAAATATTCACGACTTAAATAGTAGAGAAACTTAGATTTTTTTTTTTTTTTTTTGCTATATAAGACCACCCATGGCTCGTAACTTACTTTAAAATCATCAACAAAACATATCTTGTTGACATGGTTTCATCTTTTAGTCTATTAAGAGTATTATTTCAAATATGAAATTTGATCAAATTCCTTAGATTTTGTTGTTCGTCTTCTCGGCACCGCAACGGGCGAAAGATCAAAACTAGTTATTTTTTACAATTGTAGTTACAGAATAATATATCAAATTCCATGGTTTTCTGCATTAGATATATGAATATACTTGTATATTTTATGAATATTTAATCATGCTTGATTTTTATTAATTAAAGAATGCTATTTTGATAGAAGTGAGATGGGGTGAAAGGCAAATCAATATGTTAATTTGATTATTAGTTGTTGTGTTTATGTTTTTAAACATATCCATGAATTATTTGTTTTTTTGCAGATGATTTGTTTCTTACATCTAATTTTGGACGGTAGGAGAAAACTATGGAGAATTGAAGAAACACAAGATTAAAAAAAAAAACAAAATTAACTGTTCCAAATTTTTAACAAAGTTTGTAGTTGCAGATAGTATTCTAAAACGAAATTGGAGATTGCTTAAGCCTGCAAATTTGGCCTCAGAGATCTTGGTGGTTAGTATCATCAAATGGGATAGTATCCCATCAAGAGTAGCAAATATTGTAATCACATCACCGGCCCCGTTGATTGAAAAACATATAAAGCAGAAAAAGAAAATTTAAAAAAAGTTGGTAATTCGTACGTTTAAATGATAAGAGAATATAATCAGAAGAAAAAGGAACTACGCAGTTATTTTGATGTAATCAGAAGTAGCTGGTTGTAATATCATGTATTATCATTGGGAATCCGAATGATTTTTTTCATCCCTTCACATCAAAAACCTCCGGTTTAAAATTAACGTCAATAGGAAGAAAGAAACATCGAGATTTGAACGTAGATTTCAGAAGCAATAGTCGAAAACATCTACCTCATCAACGAAATCAGTTAAAAAAATCCTCAGAAAACGAGCAAAATCAGAATTAGAACGAAGAAATCAGAAGGATTACTAGAATGTATCTACCTTGTCACCGAAAAATCCTATCGTTCCAAGAACAGGAACAAGGAAACTCGGAGCTAAAGGGAGAAATACGCATAATTATCTATGCATACCGACCTTCCGTATTGCCTAACGATAGATTCTCTGACTGATTACGATTTCTCCAGATGAAGATAAGGCAGATCAGAGAATTTGCAATATCAGGCTTCTTCTTTCTCCGTTGCTAATTCAACTAACAAGAAATCAAACTTATGAACACATTTCAAAGAAGATTCAGAGATCTAATCTAACAGAGATTGAGAAATGGAGACGATGAATGAGAGGCGCTCTGCAGAGTCTGCCGAAGTTTGCTCTGAAGAACAATAGGTGCAGCTATTTATAGAGCGATGAGATGAAACCCTAACCCTAAAATAGGACGAAAGAGACGGAGCAGGCCCATTAAGAAATAACAAATGTTTTTCGAAAAATAAAAAATAAAAATAAAAATATATAATTATAAGTTGAGAAATATAATTATCGTTAATTTTTATTTTAACATTTTATTTAAAATGTTTAATTTTATTTTTATTTAGCACCGACCCCTTTTTGCCCATGTTGGTTTTAATAATGAGTGATTGCACTCATCGACTCTTATTGTCCAATTGAACAGCGGACAGCTAATGCGTTCCATTTATTGAACGAAGTTCTATGGTGATCTGCGACCCTTGGTTACTGAAGGCGTCCTTGGGGTGATCTCGTAGTTCCTAAGCGGTGGAGACGATGGGGTCGATCCATGGATCTTACTTCATTTTGCCGTTCTCCACTTGTCCACGTATTCATATCTTACTTTAATATATGATTTAACATTTTTCTATTTTCCCTCTCATTCAATAATACATTTGCATAAAAATGTAGTTTAATACAAACTTCAACGATCACCTCGAGTTTAATACAAACTTCAACGATCAAAAGTGAAAACCCTCGTCTTTGCCTAAAAATGTAGTCTTCCAATATCTCAACACTCAAGTTTAATACAAACCTCAACGATCAAATAGATACAAAATCAAAACTCTCGTCTTCGCCTAAAAATGTAGTTTTTCAATATCTCAACACCCAAGTTTAATCAAGACTTCAACGATCAAATAAATGCACGATCAAAACTCTCGTCTTCACCTAAAAATGTAGTTTTTCAATATCTTAACACTCGAGTTTAATACGAACTTCAACAATCAAATAGATAACCGTTGTCAAGCCAATTCATATCACTCATCGTAGTTAAGAAACTTACTCCATTCCTCTGGGTACGACCCGGCCATTTTGAGCTGCACAATTATGTTGCACAAAACTGGATAAATCCCATGTAACTGAGAATCTGACCGATCTCCAGCCAGGAACTCGTGCACTCTGTTATTAATTTCAATAAAGCTTCCACCCGGAGCCTTCTTTACCCCTGCATTTCTCATCACCTTCCTCACCATCCCAGATTCATTCCACCTGCCAAGAGCAGCATATGTGTTGGATAAAAGCGTATAATTCCCACTGTTTTCAGGCTCTAGCTTAGCTAGATGCCTCAAAGCCTGCTCTGCGAGGTCAGCATCCCTATGTGTATTGGAAGCAGCAAGAAGCGACCCCCATATCGCTGCATTTGCTTCGTATGGCATGTCCTGAAACAGCTTCTGTGCCTCTTGAAGATAGCCAGCACGAGCCAGCAGATCGATCATGCAGCCATAGTGCTCAATTCTTGGCTGAATTTTGTATACTGACTGCATTCTGTTGAAGTAATAACGACCCACATCCACCATCCCAACATGGCTGCAAGCGGATAGGATGGCTATGAATGTTACTTCATTTGGCCTGACTCTTGCCTTCTCCATTCGAAGGAACATGTCGGTAGCTTGTCCTCCGAGGCCGTGAAGAGCCATGGCAGCAATCATGGTGGACCAGGTTATGACATTCTTATGCTTCATGTTCTCAAAAACTTCCAGTGCTCTTCCTATGTTGCCTGATTTTGCATACATGTCTATAAGGGCGTTGTACAATGGAACAATCCTGCACAAACTATGCTTTTCTATGTAGTTATGGATCCACTCCCCAAGTTCAAGAGCACCCAGATCAGCACAAGCGGAGAGCACAGCCAACATTGCAATTTCATCAGGCTCCACTTTCTCAAGCTGCATCTTCCTGAAGAGCTCAATCGCTGCATCAGGCCTATTGGTTTGGGCATACCCAGCAATCAAGGCAGTCCATGATATCACATTTCTTTGAGGCATTTTGTCGAACACCTTACGCGCACTGTTAAGTTCTGCAACTTTAACATACCCAGCAACCATGGCGTTCCACAAAGCTACATCCTTAAAATCAACTAAATCAAACAGCTTGCGAGCGTCAGAAACACACCCACAAGAGGAATACATTTGAATCAACGAAGTAACAACATTCACATCCGTATCCAAACCCGAAGAAACCGTCTGGGTATGAATCTGCCGCCCCACTTCAACGGCGGACAACTGAACGATGGCCTTCAAAACAAAGGGAATAGTGTACGAATCAGGCCGCAATCCCTCAATCAGAATCCTGGAGTAAAGCGAAATGGCGTTAATGGGTGAGGAGGTCTGCGATAGCGCTTTAACGGCGGTGTTGTAGAGACGAAGATCGGGGTGGGCTTTATTTGAGAAGACAGAAAGAGCGTATAAATAAAGACCAAGAGATGAACACGCATCGATGAATCGGCTGAGGAGGAGATTATCCTGATCGAGAGCTCTGTGCAACATGAAGCCATGTATTTGATAAATGTGGCGAGGGTCGCGGCAGTTGCTGAGAAGGGAAGTTATCGCGGAAGGGGCGAAGGATTCGACGAAGGAAGAAGACGATTTGCAGAGGCGGAAGAGGGACCAACGCATTTCAAGCCTTCATCGGAGAATCGACGACATTATAGTGTTAAAGCAGTTCTCTGGTCTGCATTTTACGAACTAATTATTTTTTGTTAAAATTAGTGGAAAATAAATTCAAAATTATATATTTTTAATAAATATTAATTTAACATTACAAAAATTAATTATTATCAAATTTATGAGCTAATAATAATAATAATAATAATAATACTAATTTGGGTGAATATATTTTCAAATTTTATAATTTTATAATTAAAAAATATATAATAATAAACTTTAATATTTTTAATATTTATTAAAATAACATACACTAAAATTTAATTTATCCGGGAGGCCTTAGGCCACCACTTGTCGAGATGAATGAGCAAAGTCGTCGAAGTCTGACCTTATCCAAAATCTTTGACAAATATAACCGGCCACACTTCAAAAATATTACAAGACCAACTAATAACAGAGCTTGATTATTGAGTGTGCTGATAATTTTGATATATTTAATAAAATAACATACACTAAAATTTAATTTGTCCGGGAGGCCTTGTTAGGCCCCATCTTGTCGAGATGAACGAGCAATGCCGAGATTGCTTCTAACTTGATCTAAAATCTTTGACAAATATAACCCCACACTTCAAAAACATTATAAATGCAGGACCGGCTAAGAACAGAACCCGATTATTGAGTGTGCTAGAGAATTTCGACATATTTTTCTATAAAATAAGAGCATGACTCCTCGAGCATACAAAATATATAGTTGAGCTCTTATTATGAAAACGTGACATTTGAGCCCACGCTTTTAATACTCGTTGGCACGTTCAACCAATTAATCCGACAATTAATGCAAGCTAAAAGTAAGAGAATTCACTTTCTTTGGTAGGTCGAGAGGAAAATGAATGTGTCACCAATCAAGTAAGAGGCTCCTCGTGCGTACAAAACATCAGGTTGAGCTCTTATTATGGAAACGTGACATTTAAAACGTTCAACCAATTAATCCGACAAATTAACTGAGCTAAAAGTAGGAGGATATACCTTTCCTCGAGAAGTCGAGATGAAATTAAATATACCTTCGAGCAGCTAGAAGGATCCTCATGCATATGAAATATTTAGACAATTTTAACCTATACATACATTGAGATACGTTTTTTGAATAATAAAAGAGTTTACAATGATCATTACACCGAACACAGCAATGATATCTAAATTTTATTAACCAATCCGAGATTGAATTATCAAAATTTTAGAATAAAAGCTTAATTATAACGAAATAAATCTTAAATTATAACTATATTAACGAACTTCCATGGTGTTCTTGAAACTCATATTCCTTGAAAGAAAGGTAAAAGTATAAATCATTAAAAAAAAATTATTGTGGTTCTTCTTCCTGTTTCAGGCGGGTGGAGAGATTTGAGTATCAATCCATTCATAGGATGCTGCCATTGGCTACTGTAATTGGGAGAGCTCATCTTTGACCGGAGTTGACTTCGAAGATTGTCAATATCACTGAACAGTGGAATCACAGGTATACGGGTCTGTGAAAAATCATCTGCGAAATTTGTTGTTATTGTTATTCTTCATCTTCGTTTAATTTCATCACTTAAAAGCCCAAAAATTCCATCACAAATTTTTGATGTAACGTTTTTTTGTTTTTTTTTTTTTTACCTAACCCTAATTTTGCAGAACCTTTTGCCGAAATCTTCATTCTCTCTCTATCTTTATCTAATGGGGCTCACTTCATAGATTTATCATTTCTAGGTTTCTGAGTTATTTTATGGTATCTTGTTTGTATTGAAGCCATTGGGGGGTTTTTGCATCGATTTCTGTTGGAATCGGGGCTCGTTCGTTTGAATCTGTGTATTGAATCGAAATTGTGGTATAATTTTTTTACAATTACCTGCAAATATTTCCGATTTTGGATGAGTTTGTATATATACATTTGTTGTGTTTTTACACACTCGCAGTCGCGGGGAATTATTAGTAGAAATTGAGTCGGAGCTGGGGGTGGGAGATGGAGGGGAATTCCGGCGGAGGGGGAGCGGGAATTGGGGGAACGACAGCCGGCGGCGTGGCGGCAGGAGGAGTATCGGGCGGCGGCGGCGGCGGCGGAGGGAACGACGTGGAGCTGATGTGCAAAACGCTGCAGGTGGAACACAAGCTTTTCTACTTCGATCTGAAGGAGAATCCCAGAGGCCGATATTTGAAGATATCAGAGAAAACATCGGCTACAAGGTCAACGATCATTGTTCCCTTCTCTGGGATTCCATGGTTCTTAGATCTCTTCAATTACTATATCAATTCCGATGATCCAGAGGTTTTTAGCAAGGAATTGCAGCTCGACACAAAGGCAATCTTTGTTTCTCTTCTTCATTTCTTCTGCTTTTTGATTCATCTCTCTGTTCTAGTGGTCAATTTTTACTTTTTTTGTGTACTCATCCTGCCTTTCAGGTGTTTTATTTCGACATCGGCGAGAATCGGAGGGGTCGTTTCTTGAAGGTAAATTGCTTTTCTTGCTGTTCGATTCTGTCAAATCATTGTTGGATGAATCTGCATAGATTGGAGAATGGGATTAGTCTTGTTGGTCTGGAATTTCCCTTAAAATTTGCAACTGTTCTTCAGAAAAATCTGACATTGCTGCATATCTTTTCTCCTGATGATATTGTCCCGATGTTTTTGTTTGGTTGAAGTTCTACTTCTGCCCTGTTCTTCAGCTTACAGCTTTTGTATTTACAGTTTTTAGCGCCCGAGAAATGAACACTTACGAGAGAAGAAGAAGAATGAAATTAATTGAACTATGAGTTCGCTAAACGGTCATATTGAACACAACTTTTGGTAGGAAACACTCGCACATTTTATTAACACCAATCAAGAAGAGATTACAAGACACTATAAAAACTATTGTACTCTGTGTTTTGTACTTCTTTTGTCTGCGCTTTGTACTTTTTGGGATAAAAACATTGGTAGGGTGGAAGGGTATTTATAGCCGAGACTATACAATTTATTCCTAAAATACCTAATAATTTTCTTGAAATAATTAGGTATCTTTATTCCTAAAATACTTAAGTCATTTTCCTAAAATGCATAGACAATTAGCTCTTACGATTATTGGGCTTGACCTTACTGGGTTAGTGATGATATTGATATTGTAACATCATATTCCATGTTCTGTTTCCTTTTTAAAAAATCATTCTTTGTTTTCTTGATTACTTTTATAGGTTCCATTTGACAAAACTTCCAAATGCGTTTTTCCAAATATGAACTGTACAATGATTAATAGAGATTCCTGAACAGTTTGATTTCACCTTTTCTTTTTCTTTCTTTGGTTCTTCTACCTTTTTTCAAAAAATTTTTTTTGTTTATCTGTTTCGATTACTTATTCATCTGTTTCGGTCATTGGCGTAGTTACGAGAATCCAAAGGTTATTAGCAAAATGTTTAGGCTTATGAAAGTCTAGGGAACAAAAAGGCATGAACATGTTGGCGCCTGACTGTTCAAATCATTGGCATGGCCATGTTAAGGACATGGAATATAGAAAATGTTTTCTTAGTATATATAATTTTATGTAACATATAATGATATTAATGCAGTTGTGCATTTTGTTTTATTTTTTTAAAAAAAAGTTTTATGGAAATTGATAACGAAGACACTTTCTCAGCAACATGAGTACATAATCAAGTTTCATGTTAAACGTTAAACTCGAGTATTTACATGCAATTATATGCTTGTATAATGAGTTCGCACAAACTAGAAAGTTCGTTTTCGAACATTATTTACTGAAATCTCCAGATTTTATCGTTTGCGACGAATTTAAAAAAGGTTCTCCATTCATTAGTTTTACTTCACTTCAATCACAGCCTTGTCTAATTTTATTATTTCTTGTACATGTGTGATTCCCATCTTGATGTTGGATGCATAGAAGGTTATAACATGTAAATGTGGACATATTACCCAAGAAGTGTGTCATCCATGCTTCATATGCTTCCACTAGAGCCAACTCCGTGAGATCCCATATCGGTTGGGGAGGAGAACGAAACATTCTTTATAAGGGTGTGAAAACTTCTCCCTAACAGACGCGTTTTAAAAACGTTGAGGGGAAGCCCGAAAGGGAAAACCCAAAGAGGACAATATCTACTAGCAGTGGGCTTGGGTCGTTACAAACTCTGTGCCACTAATACATTATAATTGATTCATACAGTCATGCGTGACTTGATTTAATTTATATTTGAAGCATGGTTTGTAACTAGTGTGTACACCCTGATTACTTGGTAACTAGCTTTTCATCCTGAATCTACTGATAAATCTATTTTCCATTCCCGTCTTATATTATTTTTTCGGAATCTTTCGTCTTTCCTTACAGTTAAGTCTAGAGCTGCAAGCATTTCCTGCACACTTTAAGTTCCCTCTTGCACATAACTCCTTAATTTTTGTTTTTGATTATTGTTCTCGGAATGGATTACTTGACCACAGTAATGTGATCAGGCACCGAAACTAATGACGTGGCCAACATTTTGTTTGGCCCTTGTTATCAAAATTAGGATTTAGATTGTAACGCTTAAGATGAGGATTTTACGAATTGGGGAGTTTCTCCATATACTCTTATTGTTATCCTTGTTTAACAGATATTGGTGTTTTGGCTGAACTCCTTTCCCTTCTTCTTTTGGTGCCTAAAAAAGAGATTTTTCAAATCTGGTTTGTGGGGTTGTAAATAGAGGTGGCTTTTGGAATTTCAAATTGTGTCAACTGGGCAGGTATCTGAAGCTTCTGTTAGTCGAAACCGCAGTACCATTATCGTTCCTGCTGGAAGCAACCGGGACGAGGGATGGTCTGCATTTAGGAACATTTTGGCAGAAATCAATGAAGCATCTAGGCTTTTCATGCTGCCCAATCAGGTTTCTGCTGCTCATGGCTAGCTTCTCATCGTGCCATTCATGGGCTTACTTCCTTTGTTTCTCGTTTAACGTAATTTCGCGCTGTTTTCTTTTGCCTAAACCAGGAAAATTCTGAACATTCAGAACATCTTGTCGGACTTTCAGACGATGTCGGTGCAGGCTTCATATCAGGTCATAGTAGTCAACCTGCTCCAACCTCTGACTTGAATGTAGATAGACAAGTAGACTTGTCAGCTCAAGATGACATGGGCAATCTGGGTGTTTCAAAAGTTATCCGAGCTGATCAGAAAAGATTCTTTTTCGATCTCGGAAGTAACAACCGGGGTCATTTCTTGAGGATATCTGAGGTAATGATCTACAAAACTGAGCTCAACAGCCTGAATTTGATGTCTAGTTAATCTGTTTCTGTCTGTTTTGAACCCCATGGTTCATTTCTTCATTTTCTTGGTATGTAATTCATCGAACCGATATCGGTTACAGGTTGCAGGGGCGGATCGTTCTTCGATCATTCTTCCATTGTCAGGTCTTAAACAGTTCTATGAAATAGTGGGACATTTTGTGGAGATCACCAAGGATAGGATTGAAGGAATGACAGGCGTGAACGTCAGGACCGTGGATCCGCCTCACAGGTAAAAGTATATACACAGCCCCCGGGGCTCGTGGTGAACTATTCGTTTTAGTGTTTGTGTAGATCTACACGCACGCATGTGTTCAAGTAGAGTTCAAATTATGGTCGGTGTGGTTTGGTACGTTCCTGTCTTGATTTTCTGGTTCAAATCTGAATAATCCATCCTGCTAGATTAGCAGAGGCTATGGAAAATGCTTCTTCTTCTTCTTCTTTGTAATTGTCACTCTATAATAATGGTGAGTTCAGGTGTGTTTTGTTCATTTCAGTTGCAATTACCTTTCTCTACTTTACATCGTTCGCTCACGGGCTGTTAGTAGATATTGTCCTAGACACTGAACGAGTGTCAGTGAGGACGCTGGGCTCGAAGAAGGGTGGATTGTAGGATCCCACGTCAGTTAGAGAGGAGAATGAAACATTCTTTACAAGGATGTGGAAACCTCTCCCTAGCAGACACGTTTTGAAAAGCCTAAAAGGAAAAGCTCCAAAAAAAGACAATATTTGCTAGTTGTGGGCTTGATCTGTTACGCTGGTTGTTAGTATAACTCCTGGTACACCTAACTCTTGGAGAAAGTTATTCAATATCAGTTGAGTTTTATGCAGGAGTATCGATAATGATTTGTACCTCTAACTTTTTGCTTAATGATATACGTCTTGACCAGTTAAGCTAGTTTAAAATTGATATACCCTTTCGAGATATTTGTAAGCATGATGTTTTTTGATATACTTCTTTCAAGTGTTTTTTGATTGTTGGAGTGAGCTTCAAAAGTTAGTGTTTGATTGCATGTTGACGAGCGTTTTCAAATTCTCACTCTCAAATAATAATGAACTAAACAAAAAACGATACTATCCTCGTCTAAATTTGTTTGACGATTAAAACATAAATCTACTAAGAACGGTGAAAAAAAAATAAAATGAATCTATTGAGAATGCTATAAAAAAAAGACTATACCAGGTTTTTTAATTTTAAAACGTGTACGCCGAATACATTATTAAACTTTTAATTTTGTGTTTAATATGTTATTGATTAGTTCGTAAATTCATTAATTAACTGCCACCAAATTGAAATATTTTACCCAAAATAAAAAAATAAAAAAATTGCTATTATCTCTAAATTCAGAAATATATTAAATATTTCTTAAAAGTTAAATACAAAATTACTAGGATATTATAAAGTATAATTTTAAAATTCATTTATTGAGTTTTTTCCCCTATATTTTTAATATTTAGTGTTAATAAATTATGAGATTGAAACTAAGGAAAATTGACGCTAATTTTTATTTATTTATTTTATAGTAAAAAATTAATTTAAATTCGATGACTTAAAATTCTAAATTAATTATCGTTTCAATTTACACCATTCATTAAATAAAAAGTATTAAAATGTAAAAATTAATATAAAATTAAAAAAAAGAAAAGGTTGAAATTTAAAAAATATATATATATATATTTATAATTATAAGAGGTTTTTCATCTTTTTATAATTATAGGGAGAAAATAATTTTATTTAGAAAAAAAAAATTAATTTCTTTTTCTAATTTAATAATAGGTGGAATTGGGAGAATTCAATAATCTACAACTGCTCGAAATGATTCAGACAAAATTATATATATATATTTGACTTCCACAGTCTTCGCTCGAAAATCAAAACCCATTTGGAGGTTTACGGGATTCTCGAGGAAGAAGGAAAATGGCGGAGGTTTTAACCGGAGTGTCTCAGGCGTCATTAGTTTTCCGGCCGCGAGTTGGTGGAGCTCTCAGGAGCAATAATTTTTCAATCAGACGCCTTCAATTTCAATCTACAATCGGTAGAGGTAAGCAATCGCGTTTTTATGGCTTCATTTGATCCTCTTCGTAGATTTGCGCTGTTTATCCGTTTCGGATCGTCATCTAGATTTAATGTTAGTTAATTACTTGATTAGTGCGATGATTGAAACACATTCTGAATTTCATGTTTTCCGTAGGGATTTCCTTTGATTGTAAGAAAGTGGTGTCTGCTATCCGTGCGACCGACTCCGAAAATGATATCGAGATTTATCCAGACGCCACTGGCGGTGATTCTTCTGATAAAGGGATTCACGGCGATGGAGGTGGTGGTAGCGGCGGAGGTAAAGGTGGTAGAGGCGATAATGATGGCAATAGCGGGGAGGGAGAGGAATCTAATGACAGCAGCCGGAAGAACGCTTTGTCAATGTCGCAGAAATTAACTCTTGGATATGCAGCACTAGTAGGAGGTTCTATTTTCCATTACTTATTTCCTTTTTTTTTGTTGTTGTAAATTTGAAGCGAAGGTGTCAATTATGTTCATACGGACTGTATTATAACTGTTCTTGGTTGCAATATTAATTCAGTCCTTCTCCTTTTCACTTCGCAGTTGGCGGCTTAATGGGGTATTTGAAAAGTGGCAGCCAAAAGTCGATCATGGCAGGGGGAGTCTCAGCCTCACTGTTACTTGTCGTTTATAAACTGCTCCCCAGCAACCCTGTTCTTGCATCGTCCCTGGGTCTTGGTAAGGATTGATTATATCTTTTAACTAGCTCCCGTTTGATTACTTGTTTAGCTTTTGAAAATTAAGTTTATAAATACTGTTTTCACCTATGAGTCCTATTGTTTTGTTAGCAATGTTTTCAAGATCCATGACAAGTTTTAGAAACTAAAAAATAAGTACTTTTTAGAAATTTGTGTTTATTTTTTAACCTTGGCTAAAAACTCAATTGTTAGATGAAGACCAATGCAAAGAAGTTGCAAGAAAACAAGCACAAGTTTCAAAAACAAAAAAGCTAACAATCACATGATTATTAATTGGACCTCGATTGTCATACGTTTTTCCTTATCACATAGCTGATATAAACTGTCCTATTGGGAACTTCGAGTTCTTGAATCCTTATTAGAAACAATGAGCAGATACACTTCGTTTTGGGATGTATATGCAATTTCTAGCTATGAATAACAAGTTCTCCCCTCTTCTTTACATTAAATTTGGTTTAATGGAAATGAATGAACTCGAGTGTGTCCATAATTAAGTTTTCTACGCCGAAGTAGATTGGTTGCTAGTCTTTCAAAGGAAACGACGAAATTAGTTGTGGAAATACTATTAAGCGTCCAGGTTAATTCGTTCAAAGATTAGTTATATGGATTTGCCAGAGTTTTCAGAGTGTTAGTTGTGGGGTTTGTTAGTGGCAGTGGCAGTTGAATACAAAGGAAAGCGTGGTAAGTGAAACATGAGGAGAATATTGAGAGTTCTGTGTTAATCTTCCCTTAGGTCGTGGTCCAGTTTTCTTGAGTCGCCTCTGATCTTATTGACAATTTGTATCTTCTTATTTTAGTCATTCTATATAAGGCCTAGTTTCTTGAAAACTAGTAGCGGAGCATTCATTCTTTAAAATGGAGTCAGAATTTAGAGAAGAATTCTTGAGCAGAAATGATAGTGTTTTGGCATCAATTTGTTGCCAAGTGGGATTGGGATGCAATCAAAGCTGGATATGAATCTACATTACAGATACGTGGTCCAAATTATTTCTAGATTATGAGATTTTGAGTATAACCTTCGATGTTGGTCGTGTTCTCAGTTCATCTCAGTTCACCTTTCTTATCTGTAGTTTTATAGCAAAAGTTGTGCTGTCGGGATTCTTTGTTGGGGAAACTCAATTGCTTAGCTCTCACATTGGGAATACCAAGAAGAAAGAAAACACATGTATCAGAAAGATAGAAGGAAATGTATTGCAATATCAAGAGAAATCACAATATCAATAGCCTTTTGAGAGGACTATATCTCTCCATCGAGTCCCATAATCGGACAATTCACCACAATGATCCTTTTTTTCTCTTAGATCCTGAACTCTCCCTATTTAGAATCAAGTTACCCTGCAACAATGTTCTGTTGGCCAAATGGTTGTGGCGGTTTCATCAAGAATCCAATTCCTTTGGCAAAAGGTTATAGTGAGTAAATATGGGTCTCCTTTTGAGTGGAGCTCAAGTCAAAGGCACATCCAGAAATCCTTGAAAAAGTATTGTTGAGGATTTTCCGTTCTGTTCTCTTGCTGTTTGTAGCTTAGTTGGAGATGGCAGAAACGTTTTTTTGGGAGGATAGATGGTTGGAGAATAAACATTGCTGCTATTTATTCTCTTGGTTATTTCATTTGTCCTTGATGAGAAATAGTTTGGTGGCAGCTGTTTTGGCTCAGTCCACATCCTCTCCTTCGTTGGGTCTAGTTGAGCTTTGTTCAATAGCGAAACACGAGATATTATTGATTGTCTATTGATATTTGGTGTAACATCCCAAGCTCACCGCTAAGAGATATTGTTCTCTTTGAGCTTTCTCTTCTGGGCTTCTCCTCAAGGTTTTAAAACGCATCTACTAGGGAGAGTTTTTCACACCCTTATAAAGAATGCTTCGTTCTCCTTTCTAATCGATGTGGGATCTCACAATCCACCCCCCTTCGAGACCCAGCATCCTCGCTGGCACTTGTTCCCCTCTCCAATCAATGTGGGACCCCCCCAATCCTTTCCCTTCGGGGCCTAGTGTCCTCGCTGACACATCGCCTAGTGTCTGGCTTTGATATCATTTGTAACAGCTAAAACCCACCGCTAACAGATATTGTCCTCTTTGGGCTTTTCCTTCCGGGCTCCCCCTCAAAGTTTTAAACGCATCTGTTTGGGAGAGGTTTCCACACTCTTATAAATAATGTTTCGTTCCCCTCTCCACCCACTGATACTGTGTTGTGTTGAGATGACCTTCCATACTGAAGACAAAAATCAGCCTTGATAAAGAATGAGGATGGACCACGTTCATCATCTTGAGGACAAGGCGATACTTTATTTACGAGTAGTGTAGGCATCTAGGATAGTTGGTTCATTAGCCATATGGGTATCTGGAATTTCCTTCCGTGTTAGTTGTGGGACTCGATAGTGCTTAGCGGTTTTAAACTAGCGAATAGGATGGCGAATGAAATGTAAGGTGAAGATTGAGAATCTTGTAATGAGCTTGTCCCATGGAAGGCTTTCAGATTTCTCAAGTTACCTGCAGCTATCCCGTTTGCTTGCTTTTCGGCTTTTAGCCATTTTATCGATTTTGGTCTGTTTCGATTCAGTCGATACTTTGCAAAATAGTGCTTAGTTTCATTTCAATATTTCCTCTTCCACACGAGTAGCTTAGAATAATTATACATAAGGTCATTGTTTTAACGTAATCTCCTTATTTCCTCAAACCCGTCTCAACTTGATTTTATTCTTAATCTACAGGCCTGTCTGCTTCGCTACTGGTAGTAATGGGATCTCGTTTCAAGAATTCGGGGAAGATATTTCCAGCCGGTGTCGTATCTCTCGTGTCGTTTGTAATGACTGGAGGTTACATGCATGGAATTTTACGTAGCGCGCATTGAATGCATGGCGTTTGAAAAACTGGTGAGGATAGTCATAAACTGTAACCGGCAGATGTGGTTGTTGCTGTAGAATCTTTTTTCTCTGTGGATTGGAGTTTTAGGTCTGTGGAATTGATTTTGATGTGCCTTCAACTTTGTTCTTCAAGTATCTTTATGCAACCATATGAACAATGGTAATAATAATACTAGACTTTCAATGTTCAAAGGTTAATGAACAGGCTTGTTCTTGTTCTTGTTCTTTCCAGATTTGGGTGGCTTTACAACTTGTTTGGAAGCTGCATTTCAATGGAATGGTGTAAAAATTTGTCTGTTCAACCGTTTTAGCACAAATTTTATTTTTCACTGGAAGATTTCACAATCTTTTAAGCTTATAAACACTATTTCGATTTTTTTTTTTTTTTTTATGGTTGAGTTAGCACCCCTCGTTAGAAACTAATCGAGCTCCGTTTGATCTCCTAGAAGTAGAAGCTGAATCAGTTGTATGCTATAATGTAGATTATGTGTGGGATACGATCCTTAATAGTCCATTGCTGGTGAAAGTCCATCAATGTCGCAGGGACTCATTCTGACTGAAACAAGAGATGGATCTTTACCAACTTTCATATACTCGTACCTTGAGGGAAGCCAAAAGATGGGAGCGTTGAGAGCGAGCCTTATTAAAGAAAAAAAACCCCTCTCGAACAAAGTAAGGGATTGAGCCGCGTGAAAGCTACGACTTATAAGAACGTTACATAATTTCTTCCTCCTCTCTTCTACAAAGTACGTCAATTGTGGTAGTTTTTTTTTTTTTTAAATATATCACTTTCCACCTCTGAATTTCATTTTTATTCACGATAGATTTGATATTTATTATTCATACTCATCTCTTTTTTAAGAACAAGATCAACTATAGGATCTAAATTAATGACATCTAGCTAAACAAAAATGGTAAAATTATAATAATGAAAAGAGAGTACGTGAAATGATTTTAAGAGGAAGGAAATCACATTTTGAAAAACCTTTGCAATCAAAATTCAAAGAATTGATGATTTTAGTCTAAAAAAAAAGGAGGAAGAAATTTGATGATTTTATTATTTATTTGGAATAATTGTTAATTTGGATAAGACATCTAATTTATTTATTTGTAAAAAGTTGCGACGAATTCAGAGGCGATCCGCTACCAGTTTCTTTCTGAGCTCTGCAAAACGGAGAATTTGACTGAGTTCTGAGGTCGGACGATCACTGCACTCCGGCGGACATGACGGTGGTTGCTCACCGTCAAAATTGATCGAAAGCATCAATACAAGAATCGGAGAATCGAGCAATTGAGAGGATCGATCAGCGGAGATCCAAAAAATGTCGGTGGAGCCTCCTCCTTTCCAGGAAGCAGCGCGCTGCGAGGTCTGCAAATGCAGTTTCAACACCTTCCGGCGAAGGGTACCAAATTCTATTTCCCCTATAATTTAATCGACTTCGATGACATCGTTCAGATTGAGCTACTGCATAGATGACTGATTCCGATTCTATTTCGAGCTGAGATTAAACGATTGTTCTGTGTTTTTTTTCAAATAATTATTTGCAGCATCATTGCCGATGCTGTGGAAGGACGTTGTGCCACGAGCATTCTTCTTTTCAAATGGTATTATTCGTTCCTCCTCCTAGTTGATGGCTTGCTTTAATAGGGAACTTATTGCGATCTGATTGGTATATTTACGTTCTTGTTTGTGGAAATTCAGGCCTTGCCGCAGTTCGGTATTCAATCCTCTGTTAGAGTTTGTGGTGACTGTTTCAATGTCTCCTCTCAGTAAGTCATGTATAAATTTGATCATACGCTTTGTCATACCTTCCTTTCCTTGAGCATTTATTCAAGAAAGGATGTATTTCTTAACGTCTGCTTGATAATTCATTTCATCCTGTATAAATAATAAGCTCAGAATTAAAGTGCGCTGAGTTCAAACTGAAATGGAATGATTCTATGCGTTATTAACTGTTTCTTGCAGCTTCTTGAACTTGAAATTTCTTGTTAGAGGATTCAAGTTCTAGATTATTTTTCCTATAAATATACTTGAAAACTGAAGATTAGAAGCTTAATAATCCCAATTGGAATCGGGCGTTCTTGTACCAAGGACTTTGGTTTGTACGAGAATCCCGAAATTTTGAACTTTTCGAACCTGTTTATGGATGATATCAGGACTTAGAATCTCTGGTCATTGTTTCTGTTGAAGACGGTGCCTACATCAATGCATGTTGTTCATGGAGTTTGCACCTTTACTATATTCTATTTCTTATTTTTTAGCTTTCATGTGAAGGCACCATTAAAATTTTCAGTGGGTTTCCAAATTCATTGACGATAAAATTTTCCGCTCCTGATCGTTTTCTCTTCTATGAATGAGTGAAATTGAAACCTACGTTCTAAAACATTCTTTGAACGCTCTTTAAAGGCTCAAAGTAATTGAAAACCACCAATGATGAGGTAGTTGGATATTGGTATGATATGAAGGCTGTTGCTTGTGGGCTGAAGCATAAAAGCTCTTAGATCAGTCATCAGTTCATTCTTCTTGGATTTAGATATAAAAAATTGTATACAGATTTGGAAAGTCCTTGTCTTCCCTCGTTTCCCCCTAAATTCTTGTTCTCGTCTGAGAGGTATCCTTTGAGCTCTCAATCTTATGCAGAGATCGAACCTAGCATTTAGCACCGGTCAGTCCATTTATGATTCAATGTATAGATTGAACCTAGCATACTAAATTTATCGAGTCTGCCATATTACAGATCCAGAGAAGTTGGTCAACCACCATCGTTAGCTGTAGTTGATCAAGTTGCAGACACAGTTTCCAAACTAAACCTTGATGGGGATGTAAATTCTGAGCCTAAACCAGCTGTGGAGCATCAACCTGCGTTCGGCATTTCAGATTGCAAGTGTGGAATGCCATTATGTATTTGTGAAACACCAGTCCAGTCTATGGAAACAGAAGCAGTTCCTTCACAGGTTTTAATATTAGTAATTTCTAGTACTCATGTATGAGCTGTGCCCCTCATGGAATTTGATAATTCTTGTGGCAGAAGAAAACAGCTTCCACCTCTACTCAGTACAGTTCAAAACCAAAGAAGACTGATTCCAATCTAAGGAATAGAGGATCCACCTCCAACAGCAAGCTTCGGTATGTTAGCAATCTGTTTTATTCTAATAGGTTTGTGTCTAAGTTTATCACACTCCTTGATGAGTTCGTATGACTTGGGTCAAGTGGCATATTTTCTCATTGCTATCATTCTTTGTTATATACTCGCTTTATCGCTCGTATTATTGATTTTGAGGATAAGTCCGATCTTAATCTGCAGTTGTAATTTATATTATTAAACAGGAATCTTGCAGCAGATGAATCGAGGATTAATTATGAAGCAAGTGGCGAGGTATATAGTCTGTGTATCGTCTTAATATTCCTTTCGTGTCTGTGAAAGGGTTTAAAGTTCTGCTTCATCTATAGAATTTCACTTTCTTACAGGGGTTAAGGGAAGCTATCAAGAATGGTGACACTATTGCTGTCAAGAAACTTTTGAGCGAGGTACCAAATGCCTTCATAACAATCAAAGTATGCAATTGTGATGTCCCCTTGCAGACGCGTTTTAAAGCCTTGAGGGGAAGCCCGAAAGGGAAAGCCCAAAGAGGACAATATCTGCTAACGGTGGATCTGGGTCGTTACAAATGGTATCAGAGTCAAACACCGGATGATGTGTCAGCCTTCTCGCCCTTCCCCAAAGGGGGTAGACACGAGGCGATGTGCCAGTAAGGACGCTAGCCCCAAAGGGGAGTGGATTTGGAGGGGGTCGCACATCGTGCCAGCGAAGACGCTGGGCACCAAGAGAGGTGGATTATGATATCCCACATTCGTTGGGGAGGAGAACAAAACACCCTTTATAAGGGTTTGGAACCCTTCCCCTAGCAGACGCGTTTTAAAGCCTTGAGGGGAAGCCCGAAAGGGAAAGTCCAAAGAGGACAATATCTGCTAGCGGTGGTTTTGGGTCGTTACAATAATAGAATTATTTACTCTTCTCATGTTGGCAGGGCGTAGATGCAAATTACCATGACAAACAAGGACTGTCTTTGCTGCATGTGGTATAAAATCTCTCTTTCAGAACATAGCATTCATGTCGGTTTAGAGGTATAATATTCCGATCAATTTTCATTTGGATGTAGGCGGCGGTCTTTAATCAGACTGATATTGTTTTTGCCCTCATTGAAAGCGGGGCTAGCCTGGACTACAAAAATGCTCAAGGTAACTAACTACTCGTTAACGTTTCTTAAAAAAGGAAACGAAAAGAAAAGGTCACTGGATCTTGCGAGATGAATGGCTCTTATTTAGCGCTTTATGGTTTGTCGGTGTATAGTACAAGATAGGACCGAATAACATGTACACCATTTGATAATTACCTAAGAGAAAAGCTGAGATATTGCATAATGGTTCATCGTTGCCACTGCCACAGGAGAAACGCCATTGGATTGTGCTCCAGCTTCTTTGCAATATAAGATACGAGAGAAGATGGGAGGGCAGTGAAGAAGGAGGAAGCAACTATCCACATAACCAGGGAGATGACATCCCATATTTTTCTAGTAAATACTTCTATAACTCTGCACCAGAGTGCTTTACTTTTCTTTTTTTGTTCCCTTCTTTTTGATGTCTCATACTCTGGTAATGGCAGATTATCTGGCTGTCTCTGTAGAATCTCTCTTTCAACATAACTTTTCAGCAATTATAGACCATAAATCGTTACATTAGGTTATCATTTTAGATATCCTCCGCAGTTAGTGTTGTTCCTAACTTGGATAGTCTTTGGTGTTTAATTTAGAGGCAGTTCGGGAGCTTAGTCGAAAAACTGTCGAAATAGGTAGAAGTAAATTTAGGTATCTCTCTCTCTATACACGGTAAGATCTTAGTTTGTTCTTTGAGAACCCACATTAGTTCGAGACAAGAACAAAACATTCCTTATAAGAGTGTAGAAACCTCTCCCTATAGACGCGTTTTAAAAACCTTGAGGGGAAGCCCGAAAGAGAAAGCTCAAAAGAGGATAATATCTGCTAGCGATGGATTGAACTGTTACATCAAGTGCAGTATCATTTTTACTTTGGCTGGTGTAGAGGAGGATCGAGTTACAAAATTTTATTTGTGGGTCTGTGGTTTGTAAAGGGTGTTGGGGGTGGGAGCTGAGTTAGTGGTCATTGGAGCAAGTGAAAGATTAAAGGACTTTGAGGATCAGCTTAGACCCCAAGGATATTAAAATTTTACGAGTTTTCTTACAACTATCAAGTATTATAGGCTTAGACCCAAGGATATTAAGATTTTACGAGTTTTCTTACAACTACCGAGTATTATAGGCTTAGACCCAAGGGTATTAAGAGTTTACGAGTTTTCTTACAACTACCGAGTATTATAGGCTAGACCCAAGGATATTAAGATTTTACGAGTTTTCTTACAACTACCGAGTATTATAGACTTAGACCCAAGGATATTAAGATTTTACGAGTTTTCTTACAACTACCAAGTATTATAGGGTTAGACCCAAGGATACTAAGATTTTATGAGTTTTCTTACAACTACCGAGTATTATAGGCTTAGGCAATTGTTGCATAAAACTAATCGAAGTATTGCCCCGAGTTGATGAGATCTCAGGAATTAAAGCAAAAATTTTGGTCCATGCCCCCATGACTTTGGGATATTAACTCTATCTGACACAGAATTTGCCAATTGGGTTTATTGGGATGCTCCTAAGCTTTTTGTGCTTTTTTGATTCTATATGAAGATGCTGGTTGGTATGACCCTTTTTCAAATATTTGTCATTTTGACAAGATGCTCGATTTTTTTTCTATCTATCGAAATACTTTAATGAGAAGTTATTTGTATATTGAAATATTCGTCAGGTAGAAAAAGGAAAATGGATTTGAAGTTAGGTTTATCGAGTTCTTCGAGTCACTAAATCTTTTAAAAACTCCTAATTTGAATACCGTCGAAGATGAAAGTTGCTCTAGTTTGAATGGAGTCGAGGATCGAGTCGATTGAGCGGTCAAATTGTTAGTTTTATATCTTATATATATATATTTGTCCTCTACTTTTATCTTCCCCTTACTACTTTTTCTCTCATCCATCATCATTCATCCATTATCATAGAATAAAGTTGGAAACAAAAGCATTTGTAAATGGTTGGTGCTAAATTATATGGTATATATTTATCTCTAAGGTTTAAAAGTTTTCAAGTTTATTTTATTTTTCATATTTTTTTAAATCTTGTTAAAAACTTTCTAATTTATTTTTATTTAAGAAATTTATGTCGATTACTGTGAAGTTATGCTCATTTTCACATTATATTGTATGACTCGTGTCACAATTGCACTCAATTAAGATTTACAATTCTATTGTGCGACACTTACTCTTATTCGCGGGTACAGTACGTTAGCCAACTAGAGTTTGTGTTGCCGTTGTCACGAACGATGTGTGCTCAAACCTACTGGCCATGTTCCTCAAAAAAATATTTTAAAAACAGGGAAAGAGTAAGTTTTAGAAAATGTTGGAAAATCGATTTTAAGAAAGTGATGTTATGGGCTAAAAGCGAGCAAGTAACAATCATGACTTTGATTACTTATAACCTAAACATAGTTCAACTGAGTAAAACATATATCATCGATCAATGAATTGAAAGTTCAAATCTCAAGTTCACAAGTTGTCGATCGAAAAAAGATAACACGAAGTTGTTGAGACGCAAATGGTAATTAGAGCAACATTGGGAGGAGAGTTTTATACCAATAAGTTTCTCATTGCACACAAAAATTCCCTTTCTGTTTTTGGTAAAATCCATGTTTAATTATTTTCTTTCTTTCTTTCAAAGTTCAAGCTCCAATTTTCATTTTTGGTTGCTGTTCTTGTCACGAGACAAAAATAAAATAAAATCCGGAGCCAAGATTGAGCAATTTGCAGGAAAAATTATATATTTGTGCCCTTTTTCACCATTTCTTGATGAAGATGGGATTCCTAAAAGTTGAAGAAAGCACTTAGGATCAAAATCTCTCACTTTGCGAATGGAAAATTCAACAAATTCATCTACTTTTTGGTTGTGGGGACTGCACCGACGCCTCGATTTTGAATTTGAACAAACTCCATTCATTTTATTCTTCTTCTTCTTCTTCTTCTTCTTCAATTTGTTCATTTCTGTTCACGAAAGATGTTTATATAAGGGAAGAATCAACTGCTTCAGCATAAGAACGAGACGCGCGGTTTTTCCCAATTTGAGTTGAGCGAATCTTCGTTATGCATTTACAACATTGCGAAACTAGGGTTCCGAGTTTTGATTTTCTTTCTCGAGGTTGATACTCGATTCAGGTTCGCTTTTGGCTTTTGCATGGATTTTTTTCACGTATCATTGTTTAGTTGAGATATTCTTTTTTCCTTGCTTTATATTATCAAATTTGATTGAAATGTGTTTGGATTTGTGTGCGTGATTTCCAGGCTGATTGATCGAACTATTTCTTTCCGTCGTTCTGTTTCATTAGGGATTTGTCGTTTTTTTTTTTTTTTTTTCTC